CCCCTCTCTTTTCCATTAGCTATTAACAGCCGCAGTAAAGCAATACATATTCATGATTTTAAATATTTCGAAGATTTTATTTATTTATTTTTAGAGAGGGGGGGCGGGAGGGAGAAAAAGAGGGAGAGAAGCCTCAGTGTGCAAAAGAACCATCTAGCGATTGCCTCTCGCACGCCCCCAACTGGGGACCGAACCAGCAACACAGGCATGTGCCCCGGCCAGGAGTGAACCGGAGACCTTTTGCTTGGAGACACGATGCCCAACCCGCTGAGTCACACCCGTCAGGGCAGACTTAAAATATTTTAGAGTTCAAAACATAGAAAGGAAAAAAGTTAATTGCCCTCAGACCTAGCCAAGACCCCCAGATTCTCCATCTCCCAGGTAACCTGCTGCCGACAGATTCTGCGGTGGTTTTCTCCAGAATGTTGTGCGCAGAAACATGATGATGTGCTTCTTCACCCTCAGCACCCTCAAGGGCTGAGCACACCATGGTGGTCCCCAAACCCACTTGGTCACTGTCCTCACACAGCTCAGTCTACAGGCCGACAGACATGGCTTCCTACCTCGGGTAAGACAAACGGAGACAAAGGCTGGGCATTGTTATGCACGCCGCTCTGCCCCTGGCCCTTTTCTAAGAAACAATCTGTCTTGGCGTCTTCTACATCCTTTGTAACTGGCTGTCTACCAGAGTTCATTCACGGGGATGCACCATATTGTACTTAATCGATGCCCTGCTGATAGACATGCTGGTTGTTTCCAGGGTCTTTGCCATTCCTGACAATGCAGGAGTGAGTAGCCCTTTAAATACCCCCTTGTTCATGCTTATATTTCTCTATAGGATAAGTAAATCCCTGGGTCAAAGCTCATGAACCTCTCAGCAGGGGACACCTGCCACTCTTACAGGGCACTTTGGCATCTGAAATACTTTTCATGTTGGGGAAAATAACAATCTTGGTGGGAGACGATGCCCACCTTTCTTTACAGAAGACACGGGTCCAGATACGACCTGTTGCCACTCCCAGCGGGCGGTCAGAATCGGGCCTGGTCCGTGGGAGGGGTGTGCAAGGGGCAGGCTGACCCGGGACAAGGCCCCCGGGCGTCAGGTCACGTGATCAGGCTGGGAGGGCTCAGCAGGTGCCAGCTGCAGGGGGCACGCCAGGGGAATAGGTGGGCTGTCGGAAATCTCCCCAGGCTGGTTGGGAAGGGAGCCTCCAAAGAACTGAGAAGCTGAGCAAGTGGGCGTCTGGGCTTGGGGCTGAGGCAGCAGCCGGGACTGAGCATTTCTGGGCCGCCTCAGCTTCACCCCCCTGGCACATGACTCTAGAGACCCAGGCCTCGGGAGGAGACGGAGTTGCAGCAGTGGAAGGCGGAAGACACAGAGGGGACCAATATACCCCGAACACTGAGTGTGCGCCAGGCATGAAAACTGCAGGACACACAATCATTATCCCCACCCGACAGGCGAGGAAACTGAGGCTCAGGGAGACTAGTCACTGGCTTTGTGTCTGGCTCCAAATCCCATTACACCCACATGAATCCCACTAATCCAGGGTGAAGGCAGACTGGTTTGTTTGTTTGTTTGTTTGTTTCCCTGTTGCTTGGTAGAAGGCAGGCCTCTGGGCAGTGGACTCCACACTTCCCCAGCGAGAATGATGTCCTCACACCCTCTGCTGTCCTCACTTTCAGAGCTGTCCCCTCGGGCGAGGCTCCCAGGTCAGGGCACTCAGAGGGCCCCGGGCTCAGAGGCAGCGGTCCTCCCTCGCCCGCTTGTGTCTGCTCCAGCAGGCCTGGGGGGTCCTTGTGCAACCAACAGCCACAAGGTCCCTGCCACACGCCGGGCAGCGTGCCCGCCCTCCTGCGGTGGCCAAGACAGACTTCCTGCCCCTCAGAGAGTGCACAGTCTGGGGGAGGAGGGGGAAGTGAGGAGAAGGGAGCTGCGCAATGCTAACAGAAGGGTGACAACAGAGAGACACTCCGGGTGAGACGGGGACCCTGGGCAGGGGCTCCTCACCCAGACTGGAAGCATCAAGAAAGCTTCCTGCCCTGACCGGTGGGGCTCAGTGGGGTGGGCGTCATTCCACAAAGCAAATCGAAAGGCCGCTGGTTTGATTCCCAGTCAGGGCACGTGCCTGGGATGCAAGTTCAGTCCCCGGTCGAGGTGCATAGAGGAGGCAGCTGATCGATATTTCTCTCCCTCTCCTTCTCCCTTCCTTCCCAGCTCTCTAAAAATAAAATCTTTTTTTTTAAGATTTTATTTATTTATTTTTAGAGAGGAAGGGAAGGAGAAAGAGAGAGAGAAACATCAATGTGCAGTTGCTGGGGGCCGTGGCCTGCAACCCAGGCATGTGCCCTGACTGGGAATCGAACCTGCGACACTTTGGTTCGCAGCCCACGCTCAATCCACTGAGCTACACCAGCCAGGGCTAAAAATAAAATCTTAAATCAGTAAAAAAGAAAGCTTCCTGGAAACAGTATGGAGTTTCCTCAAAAGAATTAAGAATAGAGCTACCACATGACAGCAATCCCTTTCCTGGGTGTCTAACTGAAAAATGTGAAAACACTTATTTGTAAAGATATATGTACCCCTATGTTCACTGCAGTATTATTCACGACAGCCAAGACATGGAGACCGCCCAAGGGTCTCCTGATGGGTGACGGGATGAAGAAGGTACGGTCCATGCGTACAGAGGAGCACTGCTCAGCCAGGAGAGAGGATGAAATGCTGCCATTTGCAGCAACGTGGACGGATCTCGAGGGTATCATGCTAACCAAAATATTTCAGGTGGAGAAAGACAAGAACCATATGATTTCGCTCATAGGTGGGATATACAATAGAAAGCGACAAACAAACAAAAATTCATGGACACAGACGACAGTATGGTGGTTACCAGAGGGGAGAGGGTGGGGGGAGTTGAGGAGGGTGGAAGGGGTCCAGTGTATGGTGAGGGAGGAAGACTGAACTTTGGGTGACGAGCTTACAATGCATATACAGGTGGTTTATAAATATCACAGAACTATTCACTTGAGCCTTATATAAGCTTATTGACCCATGTCACCCCAATAAACTTAATTTTAAAAAAGCTTCCTGAAGCTCATGGCTGATCCGAGCCACAAAGAATGAGAAGTCGTTTGCCAGGGGAAGGGAGGGAGGGAAGGAGGGAGGGAGGAAGCACCAGGCAGAGGAAACAGCAGCACAGGCAAAACCCGGGGCAGCGGTACTTTCTAGGAACTGCTAGGTATTACACCTATCTGGACTGTGCCATTTGGAAGGAGAGAGGGAAGGAGGCAGGTCAAGAGATGGGGCAGGAAAGGAGAGCGGGGGCCAGATCCTGAAAATGGGGAGCCAATAAGTTGAAGGGAGCTGTTAAGAAGAGTTTGCAGCTTATAAGAACTATTCTAGCCACAGGGTGGACCGTCGGGGCAAACAAGGGCAGAGAAAGCACAGCAGAGACCCAGGGAAGAAGCGGTGAAGGCCAAGGTCAGGGAGATGGAGGGTGGGAATGGTGGGTGAGAGGCGTGGAAGGAACCACCTCCGCAGGACTTCATGACCGGGACGGGGCCCAGAAGCCCTGTCCCGGGTCTTTGAAGTTACAGGGCCCAGGATGTGTCCTTTTCGTCTGAAGTCCCCTTGTGTGACATTCTCCGTCATTGCAATCAGGAGTTTTCAACTCTCACATGGGCCTCGCTGTACAGAGAAGCAAATGAGTATTTGAAGTAATGATACTGTTGTCTCCACTCCTCCCTTCTTCTTCTTCTCCTGCTTTTTTAAATAGACTTTATTGTTTAAGAGCAGTTTTAGGCTTAAAGGAGAATTTAGCAGGGAATACCAAGTTTCCATAAACCTCTCTCCCCACTGCCCCTCCAGTTTTTCCCATTTTTAACATGTTGCATTACTGTGGTACACTCGTTACAATTGATGTGCCCATATTGATCCATTATTATCAACTAAAGCCCGTAGTTTACGTAAGGATTCACTCCCGGTGCTGTGCATTCTATGGTTTTTGACAACTTTATAGTGAGTGTCTCTACCACGACACACACAGTTTCGTTACCTGAAATTCTCCGTGTCACACCTATTCATCCTGCACCTTCCCCACCCTGCAACCGCCGATCTTTTTACTGTCTTCGTAGGTTTGTTTTTTCTAGGATGTCGCATAGTTAGAATCACACAGACGCAATCTTTCCAGACTGGCTTCTTTCACTTAGCGAAATGCATTCGTTTCCTCCACAGCATTTTGTGACTTGATAGCTCATTTCTTCTGGTTATTGAATACTATTTCTTTCATCACCAAACTAATACTCCATTGCGTGGATGTCACAATCTGTTTACCCATTCACCCACCAACAGAAGATCTTGCATCTTCTGTCGGTGAATGGGTAATTTCCAAGTTTTGGCAATTATGAATAAAGTTGCTTATGAACATTCGTGTGCAGGGTTTTCATGTGGACAAAGGTCCTCAGTTCATTTGGATAAACACCAACGCGCACAATCACCAGATCACACAAGAAGTCTCTCGATTCCTTTTTCACGTCCACTGTCTCTGGTAAGGAGGTTAGAGGGTGACCCGACCTGGAAGAATTAAATAGGTCTCGGGTTTGTGCAGAAACAGAAATGACCCTCACTGGAGAACCAAGGGTGTTCTCTGAGGACAGGGGTCCCCCAGATACTCTGGAATTATACCTGGGAAGGAGGGGTCCCTGGCCCTCATCAGAGTTTCAAGGGTCTAGATAGCAAGAGAAAGGAAGCAACAGATTTTACCTGCAGCCGAAAGAATCCCCGACCAGGGGACAGGGAACCCCCGACCAGGGGACAGGGAACCCCCGACCAAGGGACAGGGAAGACCAGCTGACGGACAACCTCCGTTCTCAGACGCCCTGGAGTGAAACCCAACCCTCTGTTACCACTTCCAGCTCGACCCCAGGGACTCGGCGGCCAACAGGAGCCTGGGCTGGACATGGCCCCGAAAGAAGACTAGAAGCATGAGGATGTGACGCCAGAGTCTATGTGCACAGTTTATTTGAAAAGGAATCGCTACAAGGTAAAAATGCAGACGTTCTCTTAATTGTAAAGACAGCAGTTGCGCCAGAGAATAAATACGACACTAGGAATTATTTGATAAAAAGGCAACAAACCCCTGGCATTTGTGTGCGAGCCCGAGAGCTCACAACATATAAAAATGTGCGCTGGAGGTAAGAACAGCTTCACCGCCTTGCGGCCGCTGTCAGACACTTTCTCCACGGTGGGGATGGATGGACATGACCTTTGGGACTTTAAAAGGCTCTAGGTTTGTCACCCGGGAATGTCAGGGGTCTGCTGTAATACAATTTGCATAGAGTCAGCGTTAGCGGGAATTCCTCTACTCATTAATATGACTTCTGACTATTCCTTCACTATTACAGGGAAGAAGCACAGCATTTGAGAGTAGGAAAAGGGCTGAAATGGGGTGACGTGAGTGAAGGGGGTGAGGAGGGTGGCCCTGGGGGGGGGGGAAGAGTGCTAGGGGACAGCGGAAGGGTGATGGGGAAGGAACAGAACTTATCTTTTCCCTATTTTGTGTCATCTCTGTAGCATGCCACGCCCCCCGCTGGAGAGGGGACAGGCGCTGGTCCAGCCTGGCCTGCCTTACACCTGACCACCGCCATCAAGGACGGCGAAGATGCAAAGGTGGCGGGCAGAATCGGCTGAGAAGGAGAACGGGATGGCAGGATGGGAAACAGAGGGCAGGAGAGAGCATTTCCCGAGAAAATGGGCAGCCTTAACCTCACAGCCCCCAAGGACTGTCTCCTGTAAGGACCACCCAAGAAAGAGGTATCCATACCATCAATTTCCACTCTTTGATGTGGACGGTAAAGAAGCAAAGAAAAGGTACACGTGGCCGAGTAGAGAAGGGTAGAGGAAGGTGGGCGGGAGAGAGAGAGGCAAGGAGAGCCGCTGGCTGGGCCAGGACCCTCCCGGAGGGACTGCCACCCGGGGGGTGAGAGCGCCCCCTGCTGCCCCAATGAGGCTAAGGAGTTCGCTGGACGGGGTGTGGAGGCTGGTTGGGGTCGGGGCGAGGGGTCAGTTGAGGTGAGGATGCCCGGCCAGCTCTCCCCGGGGCATCGGCGAGGCACAGCTGTGGACGGAGGTCCAGGTCTCCCGACTACGCGCTGAACGCGGCCTTGAGCTCCCGGAAGGCTGCCCGGCGGAGTCTCCTCTTCTCCTCCTCCCGCTTCCGCTCTTCCTGCTCGGCTTTCAGCTCGGCTTCAAATTTGCTGGCCGAGGACAGGGCGTAGACCTGCAGGGAAAGGGCCGAAAGCGGCCGACACAATGAGAGGGCGGAAGGGAACCGCGGAGACGGAGCCCCCAGCAACCACTCCTTCCCCGCGGTCTCCCCGGGCTTTGCCTGGTAGCAGCCAGGACGCCATCGCTTTATTTGCTGTCGTGGGTCGGTCTTCCCACGCTCCCACGTGTCTCGCCTTTTCCAGGATACTGCTGTTCAACACCCCCACCTATTACCCACTTCTGGTTTCTCCTCCTTCATTTCACAACAGCATTGTTTAGTTCTAGGGACAACAGGAACAAAATTACCTCCCTGCTGGGGTTTTGATTGGGACTGCAGCCACCCCCTGTGGCAAAGGGATTTCTTCACTTCAAGTTTCCCCTGAATGAATGCCTCCGTTTTTGTTCAATACGGTTTTTATGGCACCCAATAACATTTTCAGTTTTTCTCTAAGCAGACCATCCTAAACTTAACTTCCAAATATTCCACGTTTTTTTGTTGTTGTGGTAGTGGTGGTGGTTGGTTTTTGTGAATGGGAGTTGGTGCCATGTAAAAAAATATTATCTTCAATGATACCAAAGCCGATAAATTCCTCTCAAAATCCTCTGTTCTAGAACTGATTGTTTTTTTTCTCTCTGTGTCTCATCAATTTGGTAAACTCTGCAAACACAGTGGGCGTATACCTCATTTAATTAGGGCTGCTAAATCGCTCTGCCAAGCAGCTGTTCCCATTTACTCTCCCACCAGCACGGAACACCAGGTCTCACTTCCCCCACAGCCTGGCTGATGATGCTTATAATTAACCTTTTCCCTACTTGCCAATCTGATAGGGAGAAAAAAAATTGGCACCTTTTATTTCCTCTTTGGTGAATTACTCATTTGTATCCCTCGCCCATTTTTCTATTCAGCTGTTGTTTTACCTTACCTAACTTAGGTATTAATCCCTTATTACATTTTTCAGTTACTTTCTCCCAGTTTTTTTGTCTTTTAACTTCAAGGTAGCTTCAGCCATACAAATATTCTTACATTTTGATGCCATCAATTTTCCAGGCATTTCCTTTCTGGTTTTTGGATTTTTGTCGTGTGTAAGAGGATCTTCTAGACCCCCAAGGTTCTAAACCCATTTTTCTGTATTTTCCCTTCATAGTTTTTTTCATCCTCCCCCGAGGACAGACTTTTTGTTGTTGTTAAGAGAGGTTAAGGGGAGCAAGGGAGAGAAACATCGATGTGTGAGAGAGAGAGAGATCGGTTGCCTCTTGTCTGCTCCCAGCCTGGACCAAACCTGGACCCCAGGCGTGAGCCAGGACCGAGAACCAAACCCAAGGCCTTTCCCTTTGTGGGATGACGTCCAGCCAACCAACGGAGCCGCACCGGCCCGGGCTGTCCTCACACCTCCACGGTTCTGGTCACACCGTCAGCTGTCGAACTCACCTGCAGCTTGTTTCAGGGAGGAACTATTTAGTGCGGGCTTTGCTTCATTTTCCCAAGTGGATAGGCAGCTGCCTTAAAACCCATTATTTTCCACCAATTTGAAAACGATATTTTCATGTATCCAATTCCCACATGAAGGAGATCTGTTTTTATTATTGTCTGTCCTGTTCTACTAACTGGTTTGTGTATTTCCTGTGCCTGTACTACGTGATTTAATATCACTGCTTTACAGGATGCCTTGGCATTTATAAGGAAACGAAATATTCTTCTATCGTGTTGAAGAATGTTGTTTTATTTTAACGTGTGTTATGCGAACGTTGAACTTCACCAAATGTCTCTGAGAGACCTGCCTGAAATGATCACATTTTTCTCATTTGCTTTACCTATGACATCAACATTTGAAAAGTTATCCTTGCGGTCTCAACATAAATTTCAAATGTTATACCTGCATTCCATTTCTTAATGTTTTCAGATACAGCAATATTTACTCGGTTGATAGAAAAAAATTTCCGATCTGCTATTTTTGATTTTTGTTATTGGAATCACACTGGCTTCTGAGAGGAAAGGTAATATGTCATCTTTTTCAATGTCTTTATAATTCATCACGTTTTCTATTTATTGTCTTAAATGTGTAGAAAAGCATCCCCTTTGTTAAGGTTTTTTTTTTACGATTTTAAATTGATGTATCACAATCTCTCATTTTTAACTGCCCTGGTGGGTATCCACCATCTCTCAGTTTCTCTGGTTTCCCCATCACTGGCTGCTCTGGGCTGGGCGTCTCGCTAGTCCGGTCTCTGGTCCACTTCTCTGCAGTGCTGGCGCAGAGAGTTACCATTTCCTGCCATGCTATTGAGTCCACTCAGATCTCCATTCCATTCCATTCTTTGTAGCCCAAAGCAGATTCTTGCAACACAGTGAGAAATCCTTGTGTCCCTTTTCCTACATTCTCTCTGCACTCCACTGGGGTCTGTTTCTGAAGACAGGTAACTCTGAAAACATCACCAGGACGTGTTGTGTGTGTTTGCCTTTTCGGAATCAGACCAGGAAATTGTATTTTCCAAATTTCCCAGGAATTTCTGAGGCACTTGCGCCTCTGCCCTGGCTCCCCAACTTCTCCCCTCTGGCCCCCAGGTTCACACTGCCGGCTCCCTACGTCCAGGTCCCCAGACACCAGCTCAGGGCCTGCTCAACGCTTCTTACCGTCTGGCTGCAACTTTGTGCCGCCAGCTCCCCTCCTCTAGCCCTTGCCCCTCTCCTCCTTGCCTGCTCTTCCTTGACGATGGACGGCAACAAGGCCGAGTTGGAGTTCGCTATTTACCCGGCCCACCCAGGGTGCAGTGCGTGCAGAACCCCCTGTTCCAGGTTTGAGTTCCTGGTCCCAGGTGCGCAGCCTCACCTGGGTTTATGTTCCAGCCTGGCATGGACACCTGGCCAATCTTTGAGCAACACCTTGGGACCTTGAATTCCCAGCACCTGCACTTCTGTCCTCACTCACTCACTCCTCTTCCCATCCTGCCGGGCCCCACCCTGGGGGGGTGGGTCACAGATTTGGTCTGTTCCTGCCGGCAGGCTGAAAACACGTTCTGTCTTCAGAAGTCTCACAAGGATGGTGTCTGGATCCACTGGGAGGGGAAGATTTCCGGTTTGGGCGGGGCCTCGGATAGGGCTCGGCCTCTGCCGCATCTTTCCCCACCACGCTCCCCCGGGAACTGCCACTCTCAGCAGCCCTCCCCCCCTATTTACCAAACAGAGAAATGCAGCCCCTCCTCTCTGGACCCCTCCCCCACAAGTTTCATCCTTCCCTCTCCCTGTGCCTCAGGGCGGGCAGGGTGCGAGACCCTGGGCAGGGTCCCGCGTCTCCGGGCCCAGACACGTGCTGGGACAATTGGCTCCAGCCGGCAAGCCGATGGTTCGATTTGCGGGAATTTTATGGGCTGGTTATGAACGACAGCCATTATTAAAAATAAAATCATAGGAATTTACAATAAATTATATTAAAAGCAAAAGGTAATAAATGCTAAAAAAGTCGTTACAACATTTGACTCTTGTACGACATTTTACTGTGAGCTGTGCTTCTGAGATTTTCGCCGGTGTTCTGTCTCTCGGGTGGGAACCCTCCAGGACGATGGGCTACTGGCAATGTTCTCGGACCCGCCCGCAGGCGCCCTGCAGGTGGCGCTCGTGAGAGCGTCCACACGGGAAACCGCCTAGGGCCTCGAGTCAGGGCTTGGTTTATTGCTTGGTTGACTGTCCAGACAATCTTTTCTTAAGAAACCGATGGGGAAGTGTTAAAAATGCTTATTAAATTTTAAAAACGGGTAGTGTCTGTAGCCTTGACGTTATGGATAGCTCCCCCCCCAAAAAATGGAGAGAATGTTCTGCCAGTGTTTGAAAACTATTATCAAATTCAGCCAAGAAGTTGGTCACGTCGCTGAGGAGCGAGTGAAGTTCTGAGATGTGCCCTTTCCCTTGTTTCTTATAAACCGACTTGAGCACAATGTCAGCCGAGGCCCCCGTGGGAACGCCATTGTTTCGCCGGTTGTCACCACAGGCTGGCTGCAGGCACAAAAGTCTAGCAGAGGGCGAGGAGCCGTTCTCTGAGAACCAGCAGGCTACGGGGAATTGGCCATCAAAGTGGTGTATGTGAGTATTTTACATTTTTAAATGGCGCACTACAGATTCTTTGTATCTGTAAAATTTGTAATTAACTTAGGCATTTGGTCAGAGAGCCAAATGCTAAACATTTACCAACAAACAACTATCTCAGCCTCAGTTTCCTCGTCTGTGGAGTGAGACACCACCACCTCCCTCCGGAGGGCTCAGCGGGTAGGGGTCTGGCCCATCGGCCACACCCACAGTTCGTGAACCACCCGCCTGCCCACCTGTTCGCAGCCAGGCCGGCGGAGGGTCAGGGGCCCAGGCGGAGGGTCAGGGGCCCTTGCAACTCCTTCGCTTGGGACCCTCCTCCTCTTCACCACCACAAGAGCCCACCTCTTTCCTGATGCAACAGCATCCTGTCTGTCAGGTGGAAATCCTAACCGATGATGGGCTGACACCGTTTTCGTGTTCCCTTCTCCCTGGACCCTTCCCTGTAACCTAAAAACACCCCCACATCTATCACGTCTAGGCTAAAAACACCACGCCAAAGTTCTTCCCTGCCATCCCCACTCAGTCCGGGCCGCCTCTTCTAGAGGCCACCTCTTCTAGAAGGCCGACCTTCTAGAGAGAAGCGTCAGCCACCGGGGCTCTTCCTCCCAGGTCCCGCTCACCTCTCACCCTGCTGCAACCTGCCCTCCACAGTCAACCCGGTCTCTCAGAACTCTCCACTGACCCACTCGCTAGTCCCAAGACCTGCGTGCGGTCTGGCCTCAGCTGGGTTAATCTCTTCTTAAGAACGCCCCTGTCCTCCAGAATTGCATCTTCTCCGGGGTTTCCTTGTACCTCTGATTCCTTCCTTCTCCACAATCTGGTCTTCGTAGTGGCCACCACTGACCACGTCAGCGCCCCGCTCAGTCCCCTCCGAGGGCTGCCCCCGCCCAACCCTGCACCTGCACCTGCACCTGCACCTGCCTCTGTGCTTTCCAGGCCTGGCTCTGCACGGAGCCACCTGCGGAGCTCATTCGAGTCCACGTTTCCTAGGCCCCACCCTGGAGACACACTCGGTAGACCCGAGAAGGACCTGGGAGGCTGGTCTGCAGATGGTTCTGGTGGTCAGCAAGCTGGGGAAGGCCAGAACTCCCTGTCCAGTTGCGTCCAGCTGCGTCCACTGTGGACAGGGGCCAGCCTCCAAACTCTCCTTGCCTCCGTGCCCTGGAGCCTTTGCTTCTGCTGCGGTTCCCACGGTTCTCCTGGCAGGAAGGAACGCCTCCCTCCCTTGATTACAAGGTGAGTCCCCATTCATCTCTGGACGTCTGTTGCAGACGTCAGCTCCTTCACGGCCCTCCCCCAAATTCAAGGGAGATTCCTTCTATTTGTCATTCATGCAAATGTTTATTGAGGGCCATTACACGCCAGGCACTGTAATTACGAAGATAACACACCTACTCTGCCTTTGAGTCTCGGTGGGGAAGCAGACATATAAACCTAACAAGTTCACATTTTTTTTCATTGTTTTTCTTTTCATCTCTTCTCCTGGTTATAAAAGTAACCCACACAATGATCAGACACTAGAAACATATTTTAAAGGTCCCTCAGACGTACGTTATGATTCATCCTTTGGTGTATAATTACCCGGGGTGTATTTAATATTCACAAAATAGGGCCTCCAACAGTTTTTGCTTAATTCCTGTCGGACATCTGTCCATGCACACGCGTGTCTGTGGGGCGTGCAAATACGGGGGTGTAACAGATGGATTCAGCTCCCTGGTGCTGGAAGTTTTCATCGCTTCCAATTTTTTCTCTGTCACCAACAGAGCCGCACAAAACCCTGGTCTGTGTCCCCACCACGTGCATCGGCGCGAGCGCCTCCAGAGGCTAATCCTGGGGCAGACCTCCGGAGGCGCAGGCTGGGAAATGTGAACAGCTAGCCCCCAGCCACGCTCCAGAGAGTCAGGTCGCTTTACACACTGACCAAAAGTGTCCCAGAAGCCTTGAACAAACCGTAATAGCACTTCCACTCCTGACAGAGGCACGCGGGAGAGGACAGACTTTCCTGACCGGCAGAACCGGGGGAAGCAGCCGAGAGGAGGCAACCCTCGACCGCGGGCCTTAGAGACCCAGTCGCGTTTTCTAGGAAGAGGCGTTTGGGTGGGGCCTCCCAGGCAGGGGCGGCAGCCGGCCCTGGGGCCCCACCGTGAGAAGCGCGGCAGGGTTTGAAGAAACGTGCACAGGGGAGAACGAGGCTGGAGAAGGGACCGGAACAGGTTTATAAAAGGTCTGACTGCCCAGATGAGACGCTCCCGGAGACCTTGCACTGGGCACGCGGCGCTGCGGCAGGGAGCGGGGAACGGCGTCCTGCTAGGCTGGGTCTCCGTCCCAGGCCCCTGCCCGAGGCATCACAAGACATCAATGACTGGGAAGGACCCGTCCCACCTGAAGGCGCCCCTGCCTCCTCTCTACTCCCTGCATCCAAGCTGACAGTTTTTGGTCCTCACTAGCCTGCGTGTGCGTTCTGGGGGGGGGGAGGGGGCAAGAGTCTTGTCTGCCACCCCCGTGTCTCCTGAGCTGACGTGGTGCTGGCATGACCGGGGGAACTGGGTTAGTCGATGGAGCCTCACGAAGGGAGGGCCAAACCCCGCCAGGGCTGGCCACACAAGGCTGGTGTCAGAGACGCAGCAAGTGGCCGGCCGCCCCCGGAGCTGTCGGAGGACGGGGGCAGGAATTCGGGCCTCGGGGTCCGTGACTCAGCTCCCATGTTGGCACAACGATGACGGGCTGCTTCCGTGAGCGCCGTCATGCAGAAGTGAGAAGAGAGTCGGGCTCAGGGGCCCGAGCGGGTTGGAAGGTGTCAGCCGGGACACTTCGTCTCTGGGCAGACTACGGGAATAACCCAAAACCACACAAGAGGCCGGCCCCTGCGGGAATGGGAAAGAGTCCCATCACCGTGACCACTCACCCGTGGGGTGGTCACGCTGAGCCAGGCACTGGCGCAACACTTTCTGTAGGTGTGATCTCACGTAATCCTCATGGCAACCCATCATCGCCCCCATTGTACAGGTGAGGAAACTGAGGCACAGACGGGTAAAACCACCTGAAACCAGGCAGCCTCACCCACTGCACCCCAGTGCTGTGGTGGACAGGGTGCTGGGAGGGCTCTCCTGATCTCTCTGTCTGCAGGTGGGCTCCGCAGGGGTGAAGGTGGCAGCGCCCAGCAAGGGGCGGGCTCTCGACAGACGCTCAGGGGGGTGGGTGAACTCGAGAATGGGCAGAGGCACTTGGAAGAGACCCAACACCATTCCCTGCAGACTCCGCCCCGACGCCCAGCCACTGTCCGGGGAGCGAATTTGGGGCAAGCGCCAAGGCTCCCTCCTCTGGCCCCGCTATTCACTTGGTCACACACGGGCGTGTATAGGATACAGACACGGAGGTGGCCGTCCAAGTAACTCAGCTGCGGTTTGGGGCGGGGGGAGTTCTCCAGGGGAGTCTGGAGCAAGAGTCGGTCTGGGCCCCGGCTGGGTGGCCCCGTTGGTTGGAGCGTCGTCTTATGCACCAAAAGGCTCAGGTTCAACTCCCGGTCTGGGCACATATCTAGGTTGCAGGTTCAATCCCTGGTCGGGAAACTGACAGAGGCAACTGATCGATATTTCTCTCTCACATGTATGTTTTTCTCTCTCTTCCCCTCCCTCTCACCCTGCTCTGTCCTGCATCAAAAATCAACAAACATATGCTAGCGTGAGGATGTTTTAGAAAAATTTTTAAAAAGACTCGGTCGGGGAGTGTTGTACCAGCAAACCCGCTTGAATCTGAAACCAGGGTCCGAGGTATCTACCATTCGGCTGTTTCCCTGTTGGGTCTTTAATCTGCAGAGACCACACGCAGACACACTCCCCTCTGCTGCAGTCACACCTGGTCTTGCCCTGAGGGAGCTGACGAGACAGTCACTACCTGGGGCCTCCCACTGGGCAGGGTGGAGGGAGGGAGCGACGGTCCGCCCCAGGAAGGAGCCACCTACCTTGGCTTCAAAGAAGTCCTTGGCACCTTTGACGCCCTCCAGGGCCACGTCGATCTCGGACAGCTTTGCCAGGGCCAGCAGCCCGCTTTCCTCCTGCAGCTCGCCCGCAGCGGCCTTGTGGAATATGAGCAGGAACTGCGGGGAGAGGGCAACACCGCTGAGAGGCCGACAGCCGTCCCCTCGGCCCCCACCAGCGTCCTTCCTGCTAAGCCTACAGAAAAGCGTGGAAATGTGTGTGTGTGCCCATTCTATTTTTTCCTTATCACACTGTCAGAAATGCACACGTGCCCCTTTTCCCACGGGGATGTAGGGGAGTGGGCGCCCGGATATCTGGTGGACGAGAGTATAAACTTTACTTCAAATGCTTGGGGGGACCCTTTGGAAATATTTACCCACGGTGACATGCTTTCACCCTTCCGACCGTCAGTCCACTGCTGGGAATCTATTCTCCCAAAAAACCTACACAATCCTTTCAGACTCATTATTTATCAAAGCAAAACATTGGCAATGCCTTACTTCATAGCTGTGGGGAAAAAGTCCAGCAGGACCTGTATGTACTATTTTTTTTAAATGACATAATTTCAGATTTTGACGTTTTCAAGCATTCCCAGTTTCCATTTGTGTCCCATTTTCCATCAGATCGTTTACCCTTTTTAGTGTTTTCCAAGAAATCTTTTTTCAAAAATTTTTAAAGATTTTATTTATTTTTTTAAGATTTTTTAATTTATTTATAGAGAGGGAAGGAAGGGGGAGAGAGAGAGAGAGAGAAACATCAATGTGCGGTTGCTGGGGGCCACAGCCTGCAACCCAGGCATGTGCCCTGACTGAGAATTGAACCTGTGACACTTTGGTTTGCAGCCCACGCTCAATCCACTGAGCTACGCCAGCCAGGGCCTGAAATCTTTATGGATATGTTTCAAGTACTTTAACTCTGTCTCTCTTCCTTTGTCTACAGTACTTTCTGACTTCAAAAATTTTTACATAAAATCTATCAGTCTTCTTATTTTTTTCTCACCAGTGCGACGCTTAGAAAAACCCTCCTCACCACCAAGGTTATAGAAACAATTGCCTATGGTTTTGTCTACTGTTTGTATGATTTCTTTTTTTTTAACATGTAAATATTTAATCTCTGAGATTTATTCTGCTCGGTCATGTGATGTTGATCATTAACCTTATTTCCCTCCCAACGGTTAGCTAGTAACCCCCACGTCATTACTGAACAATCCGTCTTCTCCCTCCGGACCCGAAGCGTGACCTGAATGAGTTCACCCCCAAAGCCAGCAGGCCCTGAGGCCTCCACGGAACACATTTAAATACGAGCAAACGGGCCCAGGTGAGAAGGTGGCTCCTCCCCGTCCTCCATCTTCCTCCCCCAGGTCAGCTGTATGGCTTTTCGCTTCTCTCCTTGAAAGAACTTTGGGGAATTCGTTTGTCCAACAACTGCTGTCCAACTTCCAGAATTTACTTTTCCCCTGGGAAAGAGTATGGATTACGCGTTCCGAGTCAACACACAAAGAGGCTTCTCCAGGTTTTCAGGTGCTCCCTAAACACAGGGAGATGTCCGGGTTTGGGGTGTTCTTCATGACCATCTTCTCTAGAGAGCGGCTTCCCAGGAGAAAAGAACACGAACCAGCGAACGCAGAGCGGGAGGTAAAACGCCTTCAGCAGGTTCTCCAGACGCCGCCGGGGGAATCTTTGACCACCAAAACTCTTCATCTCCGGAGGGAAGTGGTCTTCGTTACGTCCCAGTCTCCGCCTCCAACCAACCCCTCCCACACCTTGCTCATAAAGCTTTCTCTGTAATTCCTGTGTGGGGGTTCCGGCTCCCCTGGGGGCACTGCCCGATGCAAAGAAAGGGATGAAGCAAGATGCTCAAGGACGCGCAGGGTTGGCCTGCGCTGTGCAGGCCACTGGCTGGCTGGGCAGCGATGCCACGTTCACCCGCCTGCAGCTTCCCGCTCTCTCACTAGAGGCCGGCAGAGAGAGACTCCGCTCGCCGCAGACTGTGGGGGCCGGCACTCGGGCTCCAAAGGCATCTCGGAAAACATTAAGCATGCTTATATTAAAGGTAGATACGCCGCTGGCTCTATCCAATGCTGCTGAATATAAAGACACTTCGGTGTTTCACTTTCTGTGTCTGAGACTCAAGTTCAGGTACAGGGCGGGACAAAAGTGGTTTTTCGGTTGTGAGTACGCGAAACAGTTCACTCTGCTATTGACGACTGTATTACTTTTCCTATGAGTAACTGCATTTCTGCTTTTGCCACACCTTGTATAAAAGGAATGTATTTAACTATTTTTTTTAAAGAAACACATACATATTTTGGCTATGAAAAGTCAAAGAACACGAGCTGCTGAAGAAGGCGGGGCCCCCGAGGGGCATGTGGGGGCCACTGTGGTCGGGCTGTCGCAGAAGAGACTGGAGCAGCAAAGAAGACTCGGTGCTGCGAACGGGACCGTGACGTGGAGGGAGGCAGCGAAGTTCCGTCCCTTGGGGGCACTGCCTGTGTTTCCAGCATTTAGTTACAGAAGCCGCCCCCATCCCCCACCCCCCTCACACATGCGTTGCTCTGTAAGGCAAACACAAAAGCAGGTCCACTCTCCATACCTGCCGTTCCCGTTCCCGGGAGCTCAGGGAGGCAGCCCAGGAAAGAGAGACCACGACCCGCAGCCTAGCAACAACCCAGGTGACTGTGGGGGAGGGGGGTCTGTCACACCCATAGCGGAGATGACAATGTTCCTCTGTGTTTACAGAACGGCTTCTGGGGTCCCTCGTGGAGCTTTCCCCAGAGCAGACCCCGGCCTGGCCTCCTGTGTTCACTCTGCCAGCTCGGCAGAGGTGACCGGCGGGAGCCTGTCACTTTAACTTCGGGGCCCGCCACCCCAGCCAGTTCAACTTGAACGTGTTCAGCCTTCCACAAAGCATGCCAGCCATTCCCATTTAGTTTTATTACAATCACCAACCCTTGAGTGATCATTTCTCCAACTGCCCAGCCGTGTCTTCCTATTTATAGTCCCCCGGGACTGGTGCATGGTGGGGGATTGGAACGTGTCCTAGCCGTGACCGTGAGCAAAGAGCGGGCAGCGATGGAGGAGCTGAAAACAAAGAAACAGGGCGAAAACCGACAACGCTACGAGCAATTTCAGAAACCACCTATCAGATGCTTCTGGTACGTTTAGGAAATGTTTAATTTCATGGCTCTCACTAGAGATGCGAACATGTCCCACGTATTATTAGTTAGAGCCCTTAGATTGTAAGTAACAGAAACAAACTCGGCTTCAGCAAAAAGGAGGCAGTCGTTGTATACAAGGGTGTCCCGAACAAACCCAAGGCCCACGCACAGCCCCTTGGGGCTGGAAATGCTCTCGCAACTGGCGGCGGAGTTCCCTCTCCAGCTCTCATCTGGCCCACGTGGTAGCAACGGCCACCCCACACCGAGTTCTTCTTCCAGGAACAGCCACCCGCCGAGCCAGCTGACCTGCACTTGCCCGGGGTCCAGCCGTGGCCAAGCGGCCAGCCCAGCAGAGCCAGAGCTGCCGGGACACACACCTCAGGGAGACTTCGGTGGGAAGTGGGAACGGGACCCACAGTTCCCAGGTAGACAGGCAACCCATTGCCCAGCCTTTGCACAAAAGCACCTCGTGGCTGGCCGAGCAGTTCTGCTTGGAGATGGAGGTAATGGGACTAGGGAGGGGCGCAAGGAGAAGAGAGCAGGAGGTGAAGGTTCTGCTGTCTGACCGAGGCGGGGGTGCCTGCAATTGGGTTCCTCGCCACTAGAGCTATGGAGGTGGAGCTGCTATCACCAGTCCACCTGCACGACTTCTACCTGCCTGTGCACGCACGCACACCGTAAGTGCAAGCAATCATGTTTTACGTACAGTTTAGTCATCTCCTTTTGTCCGCACTTTTCACATTGTCAACAACTGTTCCCTGGCTGTGAAACACTGTGGTGCGTCATCACTTTGCGTGGTTCCACGTACGCCATTTCCTAAAACGCCGCTAGTGTGCACGCAGTAGTTTTCATAGTGGGAAAAGACATGGCTTAAGAGAAAGCCCAATTCCCTTGTATGCTGGGGAAAAGCAGCAAAATGGTACTGAATGGAGACCTACCTTCTGTATTAAAAGCTTTATTTGGGTGTGACTCGCCTGGTAGAATTAACCCAAGAAGAAAGAAAGGGAACATTTACGAAGCTCCTACTAAGTGCCAGGTTGTGAGAGAGGAACTGTAGAAGTGAGCGATTTTGTCTCCATGGCAACCCCTATCCCATGTGATGATGTTGGGGCTGTAGACCACGGTGCCCTGAAGCACATGACCTGGACTTGGCCAATCACAGTCCCCTGAATGCATTGATTGGTCCAGGAGGTGGGCGTGCATCCCTAGTAGGGTCCATCGGAGGCCTTCCTCTGGGACTGGTATGGACTCTGGGATAAAGAGGCCCTCTCTTCGCTGGGGTTGCTAATCCGGGGCACTGAACCTGGAGCTGCTGTCAGCCATAGGGCAAGCCTTGCGACAACCCCACGTGTGGAAGGTGGGGGGACACAGAGGAAAAGCACAGCCAAGATGTCAGGACAGGGCCAGAGAAAGACCCTGGATTTCTTGTGCCTAAAGCATTTCTTCCTCCTCATCTCCCAGGTGTGTGAGCCAGCAGTTACTTGATTTTTCACACTGACATTAGTTGGCATGCGCTTTCCATCACTTACAACCAGGAGTGCTAACTGACACAGGCACAGAAAGAGAACTCGGTCCTCCCAGCAGGCCTGAGGGAAAGCTGTTAGCATCTGCACTTTAAGACAGAAAATCTGAGGCTCAGGAGGAAAATGACGTGCTGAAATCTGGCAGCCTGTGTGAGACCGGGGTCTGAGTGCAAGCCCCCTTTTATCACACGAGCACAGCGTGGTGATGGCGGACGTGCCTGCTCTGCTGGGTACAACTGCTGGAGGTGGGACCACACGGGGCTCTGAATGCGAATGTCCCTGAGCTCTTCCGGCGGGTTGAAGACCCACCATGGAACCCTTGGAGCTGTCCGAGCCTCTGCTGTCCACCATCTGGGGGCAACGGCCAAGCCAGCAGCTCCCGGAAGCTAACCAAGCATAGTGGACTCCAGGAGGAACATGTATGGGGGACCCTTGGGTCAAACGCAGGGGAGGGATTTGGGTCAAACAGCTGCTGGCTCAGCTGGTGGCTTGCACAGACCTCTCAACACCCTCTCGGTTTCTGTTCCTGAGATCACAGCTTTGCCACAGACGCTCCTTCCCCAGCGCTGCCTCCAAAGCTTTGCCGACGCCAAAGCTTTTACCTTCCACGCCCCAGGGGCCTGCAGGTTGGAAAGAGCCAGGGCTCAGCCCCAAGCACACATGATCTGCAGGCACCAAACGGAGGGAGCCAGAGGGACAGTTGGGGAGGCGGCCTCAGCGAGTGACAACGGGAGGCTGTGTGGTGCAGAGGCTGCGACCCAGGCCCAGCCCTGAGCTGGGGCCTGATTCCAGGACAGTCTGACCTTTGTGGTCCTCTGGCCCCTGGCTCTGAAATGAGAAGCCTGGACTAGATTATCCGAGTCGCCAGGGTCACGCCCAACACAGGTGTTCCGTGACCACGGTCTCCAGGTCTGCCCGTTCAGGGGAGGAAGAGACGGGGGAATCTGGAGGGGATCTGTGAGCAGTGAGGGGCAAGGCCAGTTTCACGGCAGCCGGGCAGGGACTCGTGGCTGCCGGCCAGCTGCAGAGCCCCAGGGAAGAGACCCAAAGCCCTGTCTAGCCTGGACGGAAGACAGGACTTGGCCGACGTCTCGCCATCAGAAAACAGGACCCAGGACTCCACAGTTTCTGGAATAGCCAAGGGCAGACGCCAGGAAGAAGGACAGTCCTCTCCACGCTCCGCTCCTGAGGGTCCAGCCGAGATGCTCCTGAGAGCAGACCGCAGCGGCTGGGCCAGGGCCCCGCGCCTTCCGCCCGGAAATCGTCCCCAAGCGACTCTACCACCGGCCACACCGACGCATCTAGAGGCCGCTCAGTAAAACCCAGACATGTAAGGCATGGCCTTCCCTTTCTTCTGGGGCTGCGTCCTCACCGCAGAAGAAACCACCTGGCCTTGAGACTTTTCTCCCAAAACAGAGAGGGTCTTATCACCCGTGGGGCATCCTATGGGCTGAAAAAGTGTGAATCTACGGGCGTGCTTTCAGGGATAAATCTGTACTTGCAAAATTCTGCCTGCAGTTTCAGGGCTCACGGGCCAAAAGGCCCATTCTTGGACTGCTGGGGAGGAGGTGTCTACAGGCACAGGGCAAGACCCTGTGTTTGGTTGCTTTTTTTTTTTTTTTTTTTACTATTTTTAAATGCTTACTATAACAATGAAATGTGTTCATATATAAAAAGTATAAAATTATAAAATCACCAAAACTTTGCACCCACAAATATCTACTATGAATACGTCAGGGACCATCCTTCCAGATTTCTCAGTACGTACATGGTTTGACCTAAATGAGGTTTATCCGACCCACACTGCCTTTCAGTCTGCTTTCTGGGCCTCCCCCACCCCCCCCCGAGCTGAGGTTCACCAGCCCCTTAGATTATTTAGAAAAACAGAACTGTAGGTTAAATACCCAAACAGCGCTCTAGAGAGGCCAACGCCATTTGTACTCCAAGGGACTGTAAATTTGAGGGTCCTCTCGGGGACACTCCCCCCGAGGGCTAGGAATGGCGGGTCACAGGTACCTCACGGAAGCTGAGCTTGCCGTCGAAGTCCTCGTCCACCTCCTTGATCATGCTCTTCAGGCCCAGGTGGGTCTGCGGGGCCCCCAGCTTCTCCATCATCAGCTTCAGCTCCATCAGGTCAATGAAGCCGTCCCGGCCGGAGTCATACCTGCGGGGTCAGAGGAAGGACATCGATGAGGGACGGCCAGGGCAAGGGAACACTTGTCACTCTCCCACACGGTGCGTCTTTGGCCTCACTGATTGAAAAATGACTCGAATACCTCCTGCTTTGCAGCATCCTGACCGCCGCATCAGACGGGACCCACCCCCTCTCCTCCAAACACCTTTGGGCTCTGCACGCTGCAATTGCAAGTGGGTCTTGCACTGCGTGTTTGTTTCCACGTCTCGTCTCCATAACTGGGCCACAGTTTCTTGAGGATGAGAAATATTCCTGTTGACCTTTTTCCCCCATTTCAGCCAATAAAGATCAACTGAACCTCCTGATGCTGGAGCCAGAGGAGCTGCAGGAACACGCCCCACGCACCCACTGTCTTTACACGGAGCAACCAGAGCCTCCCCGGGGGCTCCTCGCCCGCATCCCACCAACCCCTCCTCCCATCCTCCTGTCTCCTGCTTCCTGCTCCTGCGCCAGGCTGTGACTCAGGCCTGGCCCCTGCGCTCTGGCTTTACGCGTTGCCCTCTGGCTTGCTCGTCCAGTCCCCAGGTCTGAATGGTCACTTCTGTGTGAGTGACAGCAGAGAGGCTCTGCCCTCTTGGCCAAGTTTTAACCACAGAGCCAGTGCCTTTGCTGGCTGCCCCTCCAGCCCCCAGATGCCCCACGTGGGGGTCCCAGCCCTGCCCTCTACTCCTGAATGTCTGGGTCAGCACAGTAGGTCTGTCTTTCTTTCTCCCTTTCCTCTCTTTTTCTTTCTTTTCTTTTCTTTCTTTCTTGCTTTCTTTCTAGAGAGAGGGAAAGGGAGGGATAGAGAGAGGGAGAGAAATATCAATTGGATCCCTCTCGCATGCCCCAACTGGGGACCTGGCCCCACAACCCAAGCATGTGCCCTGACGAGGAATCGAACTGGTGACCTTTTGGTTTGCAGATGACCCCAACCCACTAAGCCACACCAGTCGTGGCCCAACAGGACCTTCTTTACCCTTCTGTCCTCTGCTTTCTCCTGACCACTCCACCCCCCTCCTCCACGCACTTGGGCCGTTACAGCGTTTCCTCACAGACTCCGTGGCCTCCTTCCAGTCCGTCTGATTTCCTGCCACCCAGAGTTCCCTTGCTGCTCGAGTACGAACCCCTCACTTTTAAAAAACAAATCCGTTCAAAATCGCCAAACGGCGGAAACAACCCACGTGTCCACAGATGAATGAATGGGTAAGCAGAATGTGGCATATCCATTCGATGGGATGTGGCATATTTATACGGTACAGCGTAATTCGCAATGAAAAGGAGTGAGGTCCTGATACACGCTACGGTATGGATGAGCCCTGACAACATGATGGTAAGGTTAAAATAAGCCAGGCACGGAAGACGGACCCTGCCCCATTCCATTTACGGATCTGTATACGGAGGCACCTAGAAGTCACGGAGACAGAAAGTAGAATGCGGTTACCAGGGAGGGGGGAGAGAGAGGGGGGAGTTACTGTTCCGTGAGCTAGAGCTTCAGTCTGGGAGGAGAAGAGCGTTCAGGAGACGGATGGCAGTGATGGTTGCCCAAGAATGTGAATGTGCAGCTCCTAATTAAGATGGTCAATTTCACGTGTATTTTACCGCTTAAAAAACTAAATAATCAAATCCAGTTTCTCCACTATCTCTCTCACCCTTCCCCCGACCTAGCGATACATGTCCAGCACCACTGGGAACCGCGCCACCGCCCACGGGGAAATACAGCCTGCAGGCACCGGAAATCTGTCTCTGTGGGCTGGTGGCGCGGTGAGGCTCACGTGGTCGGCCGGGAGAGAAGGCCCTTTCTCCCCAATGCGCTCCGTTGCAGCCAGCGTGGCTGACCGATGCCATGCCCCCCACCCGGAACACACCGCCCGCACACCCCGGATCTCTGCAGTGGCCTCTCTACACGCCAGAGCTCAAGGAGCTGCCCCCTCCCTCCCCGGCTCTCCAACAGCACCCACGGGCGGCCCTCCTCTGGCACTCGGTGACGTCCCCTTGCACTGCAGGGCATTTTCGAGCCCCAGCTGCCGTGGCTCTCACTAGCACGGCTCGCTCGCCGGGAAGACGCACCGTGCAAGATGCTGATGGAGGCAGATGGGACCCCTAGACCTGTGGGCGAGCTGCGAGGACCCTGAGGGACGACGCAGGGGTCTGGGGTCTGGAAACAAGCAGGGTGCTTCTGGGTTTCCAGGGAGCGGGCGGAGTGTATGAACCCCAGAGGGACCAGCGCCGGATCCGGTGCTACCGACGATGGTTTGTGAGCCCTTAACGCAGGAAGCAAGGATGCCCAGGGTTCTCTAAAAACAATTCAGGGGTGGGCCACATTCACTTGGCCTTGACTCCTTTTTAAAATGACAGCTTGATTGCGCCATGACATGCAGAGCATGAAATTCACTCGTTTAATTTCCACAATTCAGTGGTTTTTAGCACATCCACAAGGATGTGCAGCCACCATCGCTGTTTAATTCCAGAACATTTTCCCTGTTCAATTCCAGAACATTTGCACCACCCCCAGGAGAAATCCGTACGGTTATTCCCCACGCTCCTCTCCCCAGCCCCACCTCCCAGCGGCTGCTGGTTTGTTTTCTGTTCCTCGGTGTTTGCCTCTTCTGGGCATGTCATGTGAACGGAATCGCCCCATGTGCGGCCTTCTGTGTCTGCCCCTTTCACGCAGTGCCCCGTTTCCGAGGCCCACCCTCATATCAACCAGCACTGTATTCCTTTGTATGCATTGCCCCCAAAGGCCCTGCTGTGTAAATACGCTGTTTTATGTCGTCGGTAAACACCTGAGTAGTTTTCGCCTTTGGTTGCTGTGAACGACGCTGCAATCACACTCACGTACACGTTTCTGGGTAGATCGGCGTCTTCACCTCCCTCGGGTGTGTATCCAATCCAGCGGGATTGCTGGGTCCTACGCTCATTTGCGTTGGAAGCGAGATTTTCGAGCTGGTCCGACAGAAGGCCTTGGCTGACCCGTTATCTCTGCCAGGGTGAGCCAGGCCCCTGTGCGGCTTCTGAGGGAAAGATAAGCGGGTGTGGATGCCTGTACAATTAGGCGGACGGGCTGGCAGCTGTAGGTCAACCCAGGAAGGGTGCCAGCTGTCACACTGGCTTCGGGGCAGAAGCCAGGCCCCAAAGACCTCAGCAAGCTGGTGATGCCCGGGGGTCACACGGAACAAGGAGGAATGTGTGGTCCTGAACACAGAGCCGCCGCGTTACCCAGCAACCCCACTCCTGGGTGCAACTCCGAAAGGAGCGAAAGAAAGCAGGGCCTCGAACGCGTTCACAGTGGCATTCTTCACAGCAGTCCGAAGGGAAAACCACCCAAGTGCCCACCGACGGGTGAATGGATAAACAAAATGTGGTGTGTGTGTGTACAGCGGAATGTGGTTCGGCTTTAGAAAGAGAGGAAACTCTGGCAGGTGGACAGACACTGTGTGACTCCACTTGCACGAGGTGCCAGGAAGAGCCACACTCACAGACACAGAGTGGAACGGGGGCGGGGGCGTTATTATTTCGTCGTTCCTGTGAGCGGAGCCCCAGCTCCGCAGGATGAAAGCCTCTGGAGACGGAGGTGGTGATGGCTGCACGGTGACGTGAACGCACCTAATGCCGGCGAACTGGACACTTACTTCAAAGTGGGTGAGATAGTAAAGTGTAGACCTTATCACCGTTTTTTCAAAAAGGCAAGGTCCCAAAAGTAGGCCCCCCCCCCACCCCGCTTCTCCAGTGCAGGTTTGAGGGACAGAGGTCGGGGGCCCGTGTGAGGGTGGGTGGGGATTTGTGGGACTGCAGGGAGTGTGGGTGTAACAGGGTGCAGCCAAGGGGGGGGGGCCCAAATAGGGATTTGGAATGGGGTCCAGAACTCAAGGTGTCCAGGAAATATTAGGATGTGCTCACCCCTTCCCGCCACAGGTGTGGGTTGGAGGAAGGGACACAAGGAGCAGGGCCATTGAGAGCTGTTTTGCATAGCAACAGCTTTGCAGCTAACCTCTGGTGTGGTCATTTAACATCTCTATAGCCTTTAACTGGTTGCATAGATATGTTAAATAGCTGTGGCCATGCTCTGAGCTAGGGGAATGGAAGTAACTTCCCCACCAAGACAGAACTGGGAGGCAGGTCCCCCCCCACCCCGCCCCAAGTTACAGCGCCTGCATGGGAGCTCGGAGAAGATTGGCTCCATGCCATGGGGCCATGCCTGCCCAGACTCAGGATGGTGGCCCAGTAAAGTGTAGCTGATTGTGGGAGGAGTTGGAAGTGGGGCTGCAGAGAAACATTGGCACGGGGATTTAAACTGAGACGCGGAGCCATTGAAGGGAGAACCACGCGGTTTTGCCAGAGTGGTGACTCCCACAGCCATTGTGCAGAGGGGACCACGCGGTTGTGGCGATAGAAAGGAGAGCCACGTGGCTTTGCCAGAGTGGGGACCCCCGCAGCTTTAGAAGGGGGAACCACCACCAGCTTTAGCAGAGATTGCAGCAACACAGCTGATGGTGCCGGGAACCGAGGGAGGCCTACCAGCCGAGACGGATTGCTGGGAAGAACTGGGGGCTGCCTGAGCCACAGACTTCTATTTCTTTTCCTGAGATATGGTACCCCAAACTGGGCAAAGGGGGAAGGAAGGACTGTGTGTGTTTGTGGGTGTTTTGAGGGACTTTGGGATTTTGATGAAGACATTAGGTCCCTATCTGAGGTCTGTATAGCACTAAATAAACATTTCCTTTTCACGAATCTCTGGCATGAGAGATGTCTTTCCTATAAGGCGGCGGACATAATGAACCTGGGGGGTGGTTCCTTTCGGTAATAGTATTTTGCCTTTGCTCCCCCCACCCCTGCCTTCTGTAACATGGGGGCAGCCTGAAAACCCTCCGGGGGAAACGTGACAGCAAGGACGAAAAGTTCCGAGTCCTGGACAAAGGGGTTCAGTGCACCCCCCAATAGGCTGTTCCCCTCCGGGCTGACCCCACACCCTGGGGGACACGGGCCTGGTC